TTTCTTTCGCCCTTTTTTTCTTGACTTGTTTTTCAAAAAAAAAAAGAAAGAAAAAGAAGATATTATTCCCCAAGTTGTCCGTCTTTATTCCCGAGGAAACACATCAAGGCTGTTAATATTCTTTTAGTGTGGGCGCTTACATTCATGTATACAAGTTTTAGTAATGTCTAAGCCAAGGTGTACAGGGCATATATATTACGCGCAAACTGCAGCTCCCAAAGTGAGTAATTTTACGAGCTTGCTCGTCGGTGCCTATAATAGGGCACGAGCTTATTCACGCACGCACACACACCCACTGCCAGGCGCACATGCATGCGCACACATGCTGTGTGAGTTTCATATGCATCCTCGAGTGCGAGGCTTTATATACCCCCGCTGATTAAGTTGCTCTTGCGCTCGGTGTCGTTATTACGGGTAAACATTCCTTATGACGTCGATTCTTCCGACCGAGAGTAAAAAATTTCAAGAACTCGCCTTTCCTCACCCGGTTACGTCGTGTAGCACGTCAGCCGGAGCTACTCAAGGAGGGAGAAAAAAAGGGAAAGTGTAAGGAGCGGAATATGGCACAATTTATTACCCCTTGAAATGGCTTGTTGCGAGATGAAAAAAGTTTTATTAAAGGTGCGGAATCGAGCGAATTTTTTGCGGATAACTTGCGAATAGTCAAATTATCGACGTCGCGGAGAAAAAAAATTACTCGTTTCGAGCTCGTTTGCTCCTATATAGTGTTGCGGGTATCAAGTCTTTTTCTCAAGAGAACACAGTATATATTTGGATAATAAATGGAAAATCATGCGAGAAGCTATTTTGTGCTTCGCTCGGAAGAAGGCAATAATATAAAGACAAAAGTGAAGCTCGACTTTTTCTCCAATCCTCGTAGCCATTACGAGTTGGCTTTTGAAATAAGATCTTATCATTGCCTGCTTTAAATATCTTATATCCAGGCAATCGTTAAAAACATACTCTACAAGGGTACTCGGATCCTCGCCGCACATACACAAAAAAAGAAGAAGCAGAAAACGTGTCAGTAAATTGCATCTAGCCGCGACAGCTGTCGTTGAAACGCACTCGAGAGCGTGCGAATATAGGTAAACAGATATTCGACGGAATAACTCGCGTGCGTACATGGACGGTGATGAGGAAGACAGATATCGAATCGGGGGTATAGAAAAGATGCATCGTGTCGGGGGGTCTGGTCGTTGTCACTCGCGAGGGTAATGGAGTAATGGATGTTGCCTGGATGAATGATGGAAAGCTCAAAACTTGGCTTTATCCCTTACCCCGTGTACATTTTGATTATTACCTCAGCTGCTGCTTTTCTCTTCTTCCTTTTTATATCGAATATTCAGGAAGCATCGAAATTTATTTGCATTAGCATAATCAAAGATAAAAGACTCAAATCTCAATACGAGCTCTGTAGCCTTTGCAGTAGCTAAAAGGAAAAAAAGGAGGAAGGAATATACGGTGTCTGTCATACGTAACCGTTAAGGTATAAAGGAAAATATTATACGTACAGTTGCAGCGATATTGGTCTTTGATTTCAATGCAGGCACATAGAAACGTCAAGCTTTTATCGATACTTGGCGACTCGTACGCGCGCCACACTCGTATCGATTTACGCGCTCGCAAGCTTCTCTGTTATTACGCAGCTACGAAATGCATTAATAGCTTCTTTCCTTATTATTTTTTTTTTCGAAATTTTCCGAAACGCACACCAAACAGCGTGAGCATTTGAATAAATGACAATACTCCTGTCGGTTTAGTGTATATATCTGTAAATGTGTGTATTTGTGTATATGGTATACGCACCGAGCAACACTACATGTATATAAGCGCCCAACTATGCTCCTGCACTTACTGAATATTACATCGTTCGATCCGCACAACGCGCGGATCGACTCGAGAGCGATTGCGTGCACGTTATTATTCAATCGGTTGCAAGTACTGAATTATTTCACGTAATGATGTACTCGGGTTAAACGAAAAAAGCTTGTACTGACGCATTTCGATGGAATGAATCAGGGAAGAAGTTTAATTTTGTGGGAAAATTGTTTTTCCTTCTGATAAGAGAACGCTTCGTCGAGATTGGAATACTTTGTAAATACTTATTTTTCCGCAATGATTTCTAATTTCTAAATATTATAAATATATCTACTGAATTTGTTTTCGAAACATCGCAATTCCGTGAGCTCTGATCTTTTTAACGTCAACAATTGCGTAATATACATTCCGTTGGTGGCTCGGCGGAAAAAGTTGAACGGCATAAAACAATGGGGCCGGGGGAGTTTAAATCGAATTCTACGTATGCGTGCGACCATCCGCACAAGTATCGTTAAAAAAGTTCGCATTACTTCAATTAAAAGCTCTCTCCCACGCGGTCCATTGGAATTTTCTATTCTTCTCGCGAATATACATGTACGCAGTGCGTATATAGTGTAGTTACACACGTACACATACGTTTTTATATACATGCATACGTGCCTATTTCCCCATGTAGCTCTAAAAAAAACATGTAAGAGAAAAAAGCTCGTGCGCTACGAAGCTCGACGCTGTTTCCTGTTGTTTTTTCATTTACCGTAAGATACACACGACGTGGTACACGCCACGTAGCTTTTATTTATACATTTAAATTTGTTTATCGTTTATATAGCTTTACGACATGTCGCGTACACCAGTCTACCGGTGATGTAAATGACAAAGGCGGCCAAGTTACATTTTCACCTATCCCTCTTTCTCACTGTCTTTTTCGATTCCCATCGGAAATATGCTTATACGCTATCGCCTACTGCAAAAAAGGAAGCTAGCAAAGATGTAGCTTGTATAGCGCTGCACAAGTCTCGCGTGAAATTCAATCACCACATGGCAGTAGCAGTCGCAGAGAGAGACAGACATAGCACAGCCACACACAGACTCTCGTCTATGCGGCTAGCGCGCAGATATACGTAGAAAATCGATATATATCTATACGTATAAACGTATATAGAATACCTTGCTGCTGCTTCTGCTATATAATATCGTCCTTTTCCCCCTCTCTAATGCAATTAGATATCACCAAATTGAATGCAACCCGCGCCCCGAGTCTGTGTACAGCGCAGCGAGCTGCAGTCAGCGACGCTATTTCGAAAGCAAATGAAAACTTTGTCTTGTGTGTATTTCAAATCTCGTGGGGTAGCTTCGCCAATAGTCTTTCATTATACATGTGTGTATTTTACTGCTCTGTATACGCATATACCGCTCGCGGCTATGGATTAAGGCTTGAGAAATTTTTTTCCACCCGTAAAAATTCAATTACAAAAAAATATAGGATCGTGCACTTCAAAACATGTATTGAAATGCGGTGCGCACTGCGCTCATAAGTGTGGGTGCGTGTGCGGAGTCTCTTTCCTTTTCTCCAGTGCGTCGTAATTTCGCGATACTATTTATATTGCAGGAAATTCAAAGTCGTTTGTATGCCAAAGCCTCTATGCCTTATAAATTCGGCCGGATAAAAATCTAATGTTTCGCTGCAGTGCGGCTGCTTTTCTATACACGCCGCACACTCGCATATTCGTTAATACTTGATGGCAAAATTGACTATTGGCTTGGAAAGCAGGGACGCGCGCGCACGGGTACAGGTTTCGGGGCGTTGTAAGTTTACATTAACTCCATTTACTTTTCATTATTCCGAGCTCCTCGCTATTATCATTGTCTGCTGCTGCTGCTGTTATTTCTCTCTGTATTCGTTGCGAGCTCGTAATTCGCCCCGCGCGAGAACGTCGGAAAAGTCAAACACGCGCATCTCGCGTTGCCATTAGATTCGCTTCGCCCGTTTCCTAATCATCATCATTACTTTAAGTTGGCTGAACGCAGGCGCGTATTTGTCGATGTATTTTCGGAGCGCAATTTCCCCGACCCGATAAATAAAGCTGCTCTATCAATCAAAAGCACATCGACGTTGTAAGACGTGACGTTCTCAGGACGGCGCCGTGAGTCCGCGACTCGCAGTCTCGCGTGCGCACGAGACGGAGAAGATCGTATTGTTTTTCTTGTGTATAGCAGTTGCTTTATCCTGCTGCTAAAAGTCTATGGATTTCCTTCTCCTTTTCCGTTATTATAAACACATTGGCGTACTTTGATACATTCTCGACGGCGCACCAGCATCGAGGGATATCAGGAAAAAACGAAATTGGCACCACGTTGACCTTAATCACTATGAAAAATTTCGCTTATTCCATCCCTTCTCTCTCTCTCTCTCTCTACTGCTGCTGTCTGCGGGCCGCAGTATCAGTACTGCACAAGCTATAGATTTCGCATTAACGTATCGCAGTACGAGCTTCTCTCTTTCTCCTTCTCACTCGCGCAGCGCAGGGTATATATCCACACGCGCGAGCAATCGATAATGCTCCATTGCGTAGCGCGCGATTATGTGTATATATATATGCGCGCTGGCGTGACCATACATATCGCATTATTGCAGAATTATGACTGTGCGCGTCGCCACCGACCCGCAACAGCAGCAGCGGGCAAAAAATCAGCTCCGCGCGATCATGCGTGCGCCACGCATTTATCAATTTCTCTCGATTTGCAATTAAAGCCCATGAATTTCGCATCGATGTATGGCTATTTATTTTGCAATCGGATTAAAAAAGCCTCGGCGCGCTCAAAATCAATGGTCCAGAAATGTACACGCTCGACGATATGTCTCGAGAGCTTGCGAGCTTGCAGAGAGCGTCGGTGCTGGTGGAGGGAGGAGACGACTGTTTACATAAGGCAAGCCATGACAAAACATCAGAGTGCAACTCGGCGTCATCGCAGAGGGGTTAATAACTCTATTCAAGAAAAGTCCTCGCAGCTCCTCCAGCCACCCTTTTCTCTCTTTTCCTTTTTGCGCGACGTTGAATACACGTCTGCGCGCATATGTAGCGCGTCCCCACCATCATCCGCGCGTAGTAGTAGCAACTGAATCCAGCGGCAGCAGCGGCGGCAGGCAAGCAGCAGCAGCAGCAGCAGACAGGCAGGCAGGCAGGCAGGCAGGGAACGCATTACACACCCTCAGCTGCTGCTCTACTGCGCTACTTTTCGCAGTCGTTCGCGCACCCTCTGAGCGCGAGGGTGGCTGTGAGCTTTATCTCAAACACAGTATATACAGTATGTACATAGGAACGTATAGTACATAACCAAGAAAAAACTCGACCGAGTGTGGCACAACGTGTTTAGTTTTTTGGATTCTTTTCCATTCAGTGCATCCCCTGGAGCTAGGGCACATAACGAGAGAAATTAATCTCGAACGAGTGAGTATTCTCGAAATTGAAATATTAATTCTCTGCCAAAGCTTGCGAGAGAGCCGAGGAAAGTGTGCTTACTGATTAACATTCAGACCGGCATGTTTAGTTTCGACGAGCTTATTGAGCTGTTTGCCGTACGCTATAATACGTTCACGTTTTGCAATCTCAATTAACTCACCGGCTTCGGGGGGCTGCTCGCAGCCTTTGTTTCGCTTGCCAAGTACAAGTGCGAGTCTCACTGAGCTGGCACGTGGGTTTTACCGATTAGTAGGTCAACGAACTCGTCGATCTTCTGCTCTCTCTCCCTCTCTTTCTCTCTCTCCTCATCCCTCAAGATTTCTCTCTCACTCCATCTATGTAGATGTATTATTCTAATGAACTAAGTAATTAAGGCTAGGACATTTTTACCCGGAGCTTTTGAGCGTCAAATTCCCGAGTGAGCAAAAAAACTTGCAGGCTATTTTGCTGTGTTGTTCGACGAGCCTCGTCACGAGCAATATTTTTCCGATAATTAAAGCACAATAAGAAAAAATTTAACGACCGACACGTTGCTGTTATATTTATATTTACCCGCGATTGCGTGTCATTACACCAGCGTGACAGAGACACGAGCATCCGATCGATCGCCTACCAGCGGCAGAAATACGTGCTCCGAAATCAAAATCAGCGATGCCGAGTAATTATAACGCATATTTTAAGCTCGCATCATGCCGCTGCGCGATTGTAATTTCCCTTCGAGTTCTCAAGTTTGCAATTGGATAATGGCTTGTCCATCGAATACAATTTATTGTGTAGCAAAATGTCAATGGCGTTTGATGACCATTCGAGAGGTGAGTCATTTACACGATGATGTCTTTTTTTTTCTCAATCAACCGTGCTGTGTGACCCTTTGATAATCGATACACTTGCATAACAAGTACATTTTATTTACTGTATAAATTACTCAAAGCTGGAAAAATTCTGCATGCTCATGGAAAAGTTACAGAACCTTTTTTGAACTCGTGTTTTACTGAAAATTCCATTGAGCTTGTTTCGTTTTTCGCTAGAAAAAGGCCGGTGCATTTCGGAGCCAACAATTTCGGACGAAGGGAGAAAGGAAATTTTCCTATTTTTAACAGGCGAAAACTTTTTTAATGCTTCATTAATAGCTCTATTGCAATAAAATTTACTTACGCTGCAAATAGAAATTATACGAGGAAGCAATTACATGCTACTGCGTGCAGTTGAGGTGACTCCGCGCGCGCTCGCCAACTTTTTTCCGATTGTAATCCCTGGCATTTGGTTTTTTTCTTTGGTTGCTTTTTCACTGCAACCCCACACACTTCAATGGTGTGTGACGAAACACGTCATTAAAATTTTAATAAATTTCTCGCTGACCTGACGTTTAGCCGCTGCAAAAATGCCGCATTCGTTATTGCATAAAATTTCGTTTCAAATCGTGGATTAATTCGGATAATATCTCGGGTAATATCAAGGTCCACTGGAAATACGAAACTTTGAAGCTTAAAATACATCGAGTTTCAACTGGACTAATTCATTCAAAATTTGATCGCTCGACGAATTATATTTTGCTAAGTGAATACGTTTAAAACTTGAGCCCGAATTTTGATAAAAATAAGTTTCATCTCTCTGCGACGTCCAAAACTTTGTATCTATTAAACATGAAAAGCATAAAAATTAATTAAATCATAACTCAAAATAAAATACAAAGTAGCAAGAAAAGTTCACAATTATCTCGCATAAATGCACCGATGATGTATCCACTGGCAGCTTTCTTCAAGCTTGTAGCAACATAACGGTAATTTCAAATTGATGCACCAGTTTTTATTATTGAATGCTTGCGACTTTGGCTTGCGATCGTACAATATTTTTCCCTATCTCTCTCATAATAGCCAATGCTCTCCTGTTTCGATTTTTCTTTTGAATACAAGATTTTTCTCTTTTCCTTTTTCTTCTGCTCAATTTCTTTGCCTGCTTGAATCCCACAGGTTTATATACGTATGGCCCACTTGCGAGTACATAAAAAAGAAGAGAAGAAAAAACAAGGCCACGTATAAGTTTTTCATGCTCTTATAGCTTTACAATGCACTCATGAGATAAAGGAGCTTGGTAGACTGATCGTACTATTGGGCAGCGTAACACTTCTTATTTTTTCTCCCCGAGATCCTGAGAAATGTAACTCAAGTCTTTCCCTACGCGATGTTCCAACAAATGATCCCATTCAAGCAGGCTCCAGGCCCGCATGACTCGCTATCCTCTTAAAGAACGTCTTCCTTGCGCGGCTTTTAACTAATATCCCTTGCTCTATTTTTTAGCCCTCGGTATCGACGCGAAAATTCCCTCTATATCGCGCGCAGCCTGGGATTTTTATACGCGCTGAGGTGAGCGGAAACAGCGCGTCGAAAATTTATCGGATGTAGTACAGGTGACACACGGATATAGTTTGTTTTTCTTTTTTATTTAGTTGTTGTGCTTCGGCTGCCACTACTGCAACCGTCGGGCGTGAAATATTTATCACCCGGGCACAAATAAACGTTGCAAAAGTTTCTTTTTTTGTGTCGTGCCTCGATAGCACCACCCGTCCGCGTATCAATCGCATTCGTATTTTTCAAAAAATCAACTTTATTATTCACGATCAATTATCATCGGTAAAAGCAAACGCGACAATAGCCTCTATTTCTATCTCGAATGTTGCCTCTGAGAAAAGGTTGCCACGTTGCTGCTTCTGCTGCAAGCACAGGAAATAAATCTATAAGAAGCTGCTGCGGGGATAAAGGTCTCGCTTATATACAGCTTAAATCACGAGTTTCACAAAGAAAGGTTCAGTGAATAGTGCGCGCGGGCAATATAAGTTTTTCATTAACCGCTTTCGCACGCGATTTTACTTTAGGGGGGGCGAGAGGAGGGCTAAGCGCAAGAGGCGAAAAGGGTATGTTTACCTTCAAACGAGATACTTTGCAAAAGTCGTTTAATCATCCTTATTTAACGCCACCACTTGCTGAACTTGCAGCAGGCACACCGCGCCTGCATCGAACCTATATTTGTTTCGTTAAAAAGTTACGTCTTTTTTGAAGTCAAAGTTTATATGTTCAAAAATAAACTTCTTGTCTCGCTGATATTATTTTTCTCTCTCCCTTTCTTTCTTTCTCTCCCTCCACGAAATGAACGAGTGCTAGATTAAACGGTTGTTTTTCAAAAATAAAAAAAATTTGTAACAATGCGCACGCCACGTTCGTATGTACATGCGCATGTGTGTGTGCGTGTGTGAGTACGCGTAGGTCGCGCTGGCAGTTCAGCGCAGCGTGCGTTATAAAATGAGGGTAACTGTTGTAAAGCATGAAAAACAGGCGCTTTCGTACAATAAAAACGATAACAACGATGTGCAATGAGATTTTACTGACCCGCTCGTCGTGCGCTATGTGCTCTAAGTGGGTGTGCGTGTGTGTGTGTGCGCGCACACAGGGTTTCTATTATTTCAGCTATTGTACAGCGGTAAGCCTTTGTTGGGATCCGAGGGGCAGTGCAGGCTCGGCTCTGTAACCGCAGGCAGGTATATAGAAAACTGGTCCTTTGCTGAGTTTCATATCGGCGAGCGAGCGGCTGGCGCTGCGGCGGCTATCCCGATGATTTTTTCCCTCGAATAATAATATCGTTATCGTAAATGCCTAAATAAATTACAGATACGATCGGCTATACATAGACGATATAGCCGTAGGAGAAGGAGGAAATTTGCGGTAATTCGCTCGGCACGCCAAGATTTAATCGACGGCATTTTTGTACACATTTTTGCGTTCCGTTATTTCTCATCAAAGCGCTCGAATGGTTATATTTATTCCCGTTGAATAGGATATTGATAAAAGTTGCTCGCTCTCCCCTCGCTCCCTGTCACGTTCAGCCGTCTCTCTGTGTGTGCGCGCGCGCGCCTGTGTACGTGTCACTTTTTTATATTCGACGAAACAAAAAATTATTTCCTTTACGCGTTCATGTGAGCACAGCCACGCGCGCAGAAGACGAGGTAAATTTTCGACATTCTAGGAAATTGATCCATGAAATAGCTTTTTTTTTCACTCGCGCGCTGACGCTTCATTTCGTTCTTATAAAACACAATGTTTTCCACATACACACACGCACACACAAGCTTTCTCTCTCTCTCGGGCGCGCGCGCACGCTCTTTTCCTGGGGAAAAGAGGAAATTTTTTTTTATTCCCTGAAGCTGCGAGAGAGAGAGAAAGAGCTTTTTCTCTCCTATATAAAAGCATTACGTGCGTCGTGGAGCTTCGATAATCGATCGCAGATTCCTTACGACGCTAAAAATATGTCGCGGAATGTCAGCTGCGCGTGCAACGAGCGGTATAAAGTATAATGCGAGAGAGAGAGAGAGTGCGTATGCCAGCGATGATATAGCTGCGTGTGCTTAACGTAATTAATTCATATATTTTACGCCCCGAAGGAAGTTGGCCCCCGACGATCGCGAGCGAACGAGCGAACGACGAGCGCGAGCTTGCGCGTATTGCGTTCCGCGCCAGCTATCCGTGGTTATTCATGGGATTAAACGAATTCGACCAAGTGTCTGTTAATTAAACTCCTTTTGTTAGATACACACGTTGCAGGATATTTCGAATATTTATGTTCGCTCGCATCCGATCAGCTATATGTGTGTACGGCCGCAAGAGCAGTTCATAGCAAAGCCTCCAATTAAATTGTCACGTGAAGCAGGTTTATTTTCAAATTCAGCTTTCTCCGTCTCTCGTTATCTCATTTGGCTCGATGAGCAAATTAATGAACAAATATTTAGCGCAAGCTTGGGGGCGCGCGTCCACTCGGTCCGGTGTGTGATTTGTTTTAGCATTATTTTAATGCGCCGCTATCCGTGCGCGCGGTCATCGGTCATATTTGTCCGAGCGAGTGAGCGATGCGACGATCGATCGGTGTGGGTATACTGTTGTCATTGTTTTAACGCCGAAGGAATCAGTGGAAAGCCTCGGCAGCGCGACTCGATATAGCGC